ATGCCAAACTATAGTTTAATGTGATATCTAAAAGGTGGTGATTTCTTTTGAATGGGGAAATAAAAAAAAAAATCAAAAGGATACACCTTCCTTCACAATCTAATGCCCTCCATGTAGACTAGTCAATAACAGGTCTCCCTGAACCTCAGATAAAGGTTCTTATTTTGTGTAATCCCCTTTCTTACCCTCCTGAATCTCTCGTACTTGATAGTACTTTAAACCAGACTGCCCCAAAACTCAGCATAAGGTGTGGAGCCTTTCTTTTCTCTCCCAACACAAGGAAGAGAGAGGAAAAAGGACTTGGAGATGAAAGACATCAAAGTAGCCACAGCTGGATAGCTTTTAAGCCAGTTCAAACATGTGGATCCCAAGTATGCTATCAATTTAGGAATATAAGAGCTCTATTGGGTTAGACAAACTGCTTATCTGATTCAGAATCCCATTTTCCAAAGTAGCTAATTGGAACTTTAGGAAGCAGATACAGTACAGTATTTAGAATGGCCATATAGGCTATCAAGCCAATGCAAAAATCATTGAAAGAATACAGTAACAGTCAGGCTTAATGCTAAAGAATTAATGGACGCACATGCTGTGTATTTCAGATATTTTATGACAATATAAGGCTGCTCAATAGGGAAGCCTTTCAGTCTTGCACATTATTCTGTAAATGATAGATTGGGTGTGGAAGCTCTGCTTTAGGAGTGACCCGCATCTAGCCAGTTGCTCTGCATCATTTCATTCTTCCTTCTACATAGAGCCCATGTGGAGTTGGCAGTATAAAAATACTGTAAATAAATATAAAATAGATTGGCATGATATTTGGGGGTGGAGAGTTATTTCAAAATCTTGAAGCCTTACTGTCTCATATCTGGAGCCCAAGTCACCATACATAGCATTCCCTCCTATTTTTCCCCATGACAAGAACCATCTAAAGTAGAATGTGCTGAGAGAGAGAGAGAGATTGGTCCAAAGACACCCAGTGAGCATCCATGGTTGAGGATGGACTAAAAATTGTGTCTCTCTTCTCCTAGTTCAACACCTTAACCACAGTGGCTGTCTTGTGCTAGGCATGGCTTAGGAGCAAATTTTGCATTGGGTTGCATTTCATTCCCTGTCCTTTTTCTTGAAAAAAAACATGCGTTATATACAGAAGTTGCTAGGTTCAGTCCTAATATCTCCATATGGAGAACTGCTGGTAATCTGTATCTTTTCTGACCAATAGTCTGACTCACTGGCTGGGTTTATACAATGTACTAAGCTATAGTTAGCTCAAGCATAATTTGTTGAATAAGCTGCCTTGAGCTGGTCTGATACAGCAGCCCATGCTAGAGGTTATAAACTAGAATGGCTGTATTACATATTACACTAAATCTTAAGAGGATGCCCACGTTATGGCTTTGATGCGTGAACCTGGGCAACATAAGCTAATTTCCTAGGTTCATGCCCAAAGGAGCAGTCAGCTTCAAAGTGCTTCTCTCCTCTGAAATGGCTGAATTAAAACTAATTCACAAGTTTGTCTTAGCAAATCCTGATAATGCTTAGCTTGCTACAGGAAGTTTTCCCCATTTTAGATGTTCACATTACTGAACAGGGCTTGGGAAGAGTGGAGAGTGGGCTCAGTCATAGCCATCCTATGTATACCCGATCTCCATTTGAATGGATTTCATATTCATTTTTGATCTAGATAGTATTGTGACTCACTTCTGCCACTGCTGTTATTTTATGAGTTTTAATTTATTTGGGTACCATTCCACTTGGGACATTTCGTGCATTGATCACATTGATCAATCCAGTGAGGTAGATCTTGACCTATGAATGTTCAAGGCATTATACATTTCTTAATCTAGCTGGTGCAGACATTATGAAGGGTTTTTGTTTTGTCTTATTTTTGCTTCACCAAAATTGAGCCTTTTTTTTTTAAGGTTTTCTTACCCAAGTGGCATCTCGACTAGTAATCCATGGTCAGATTTAATTAAAATATATTGATATTGTGCCCATCTTGACACACATTGATATTGTGCCTATCCTGGCACATAGCTGCTATCCAAATGCCTCTTCTGTTGGAAAGCTCTTAAAGTTAAATTGGTTTGTTGTTTAATTTGCAATTCCTTTTTATTAAAAAGAAAAGCTGCCTTGAGTACTTATTCGAGTAGAAAGGCAAGGTATTAATAAAATAAATTAATCCTTGGCAATCTTGCTTGGTAGCATTTGGGATAATTAGCATTTAAAAACATGATAATTTGCAGTGCAATAGTAAGCCTGTTTTCCAAAATCAAATCTCTTGTACAATACCTGAAAATATATATTTAAGTTCTTATCGTCAATAGTTGGGTGAAATACAGGGTATACCTCTAAGGATAGTTACACGTGTAAACTTTTTATTTTGAACAAATCCTATCAATATATGAGAGATGCAGCAAGTAGAATGTATAATTTAGGAATGATGAGTCCTACTTTCCAAATAAGATCATATCTTATTATCTCTTATATTAGTTTTTTCTTGCTGATTCATTAATTTATATACTAGATTTTGTTATTGTTGTTGTTGTAACATATGGATTTACATTGCCAGAAGTGATGAATCAGTTAAGTAATTACGTTCTATGTTTTACACAGTGATTTAATTTAATTAAAAGAAAACTTAATATGCCAGAACTCCCTTAGTTTGCATGCCTACATAGGGAAATCTATAATTAGAGTTACAATTATAGCATGGTCCGGGGCTGCTGAAGCCATATTTAGAATGCTGATCTACAGTTCTGGTTCCCTTCCTATCTAATAGATCTTCTGAAGAAGAAGAAAGTACTTAAGGCAGCTAGCTCAGTTGGGAAATCTGATCTTTACTATTTACGGTCCCAAGAAACAGTGTTCCTGAGGAAAAGAAAATGAGATATGTACCATGACAAATAATTTGCGAAGAACTCAGAAAGTACCACGTAATTCTAGATGGGAAAAAAATCCATCTCAATTAATTAGTAGATCTATTTTGAACTGAGATCTGAAATATTCTTTTCCTTTATAGAAGATACAGCAAATAAGCATTTCAGCCTTGCTTGAACATTATTTCTTGTCCTACAGAAACTTCTCAAACGGTCCTCAAAGAATGCTATCATCTGGGTAGTATGGATTTTTTATTTGCAGTTCAAATAAAAAATTCTTGAGAATCACAAAGCAACTGCTTTGTAAATATTTTACATTTACAGTTGTATGCGTATTTTCAGTGGACAGCTGGAGGAAATAGGGATTGAAATGTGCATGTCTGAAGTCTAAATTATAAGTGACACCAATTTCCGCCCTCACCACCCAACCAGATCCTAAATGAGAAAGTCTTCTTAACTTATATAGAGTCATAGCAGACTATCAATATACACTATCTCTTACAGAAGCCTCCTGAATATGGCAAGTTGAGTTGAAGTTCACATACCTCACACCCCACAGGGCCAGGAGAGAGGCATGATGCTCTTTTTTACCCTAATAGGAAAGCACCAGAATAACTTTGTGTATGTATGGGTCGGTAGGAGATGGAACTTGCTCCTACTTTGCCTTGCATGCAGGTAGAAAATTACCTAAATGTTAAGTCTCACTGGAGATGAAAAATGCCCCCAAGTGTAAATTTTAAATGGTTTTGATTAATTTCACTGCAGTGATTAAACTATCTGTTCCATTTGGGAAGAATATCTGATCATCTGGGATGGGTGGATTGATTCTTAGACCTGAGTGCCATCTTTGGCAAGTGAGTAGATTTTATAATGGGGTTAAAGGCATAGCAGCAGCAGACACATTCCAAATTGGGGGCCATCTCAAGGGCCTTTTCCTATCATGGAACCTACTGGTTAGCATGAAATACAGCTCCCATAATTTTGAGATCCCATACCCACATATCTGGGAGTAATGGGTTGTTTACAGACACATATAAGCTTTGAAAGCATATTAGCATCTTAGTTTATTTTATAAATGAAGTATTGCTAATTACAAAAGTAAAGACTAACGTGTTTAGCTTTTGGGAAGAGATTGGAATCTAACTGCTGTGAATCTACTACTGTATATTGCAGTGATGGCAAACCTATGACATGCATGTCAAAGGTGACACACCACAATGTTTTGGGTGACACACCAGTGTTCACCAACACCTGACAACAACTATTCTTCCTATCTGAATTACCAAAGAAACTGGGTTTGTTTTACTCATATTTCATTTTTGTAATTATTTGATGTTTCTTTATATAATACATAGCACCAAACATGATTGGACTGTATTTTTTAAAATAAATGAATATGTAAAGAATTGTTTCTCTTTTGTTTGTGGGAGGGAGTGACACGCCAGCAAAGTCAAGTTAGGCATTTTCCAAATTTTTGACACGCCGAGCCCAAAAGGTTCGCCATCGCTGGTATCATGCAACCTCATTTCTCAGGTACAGTATGGCTTAGGAGTATCATTACGTACATCTGGCATGAAGCAACAGTGAGGACAAAAAGAAATACAAAAAGCAATACAATAGCTTAAAGCACCTGTAAATGAAACATTTATTGAAAATCTTAATTTTATCAGAGGATATCTTGATCATCAAAATGTATTTGAATAACATTCTCTTGGTTTAGATTCGTTTTCTAGAACATGAAGGTGCTGTTAAGTCCAGAGATTTTTTGAGCATGTAAGTTGCATAATTTTTATAAATTGATTAAAAAAATAAGCTAAAGAATAATGCAAACTTGGTAACTAATGAGAGATTAGGGCCTATAGTAACTAATACAGCTATTTAAGATAAAACAAATTCATTGTGCATAATTTGGTAAATGGAACAAATGGTTAAGATAAGCAAACATGTAAATGCTTTTGTCTGCCCAATTTTTTAATAGGATGGTCAGATGTGAAAGAAAAACTGACTGTTGTAAAAGCTGAAGAAAACATTGGTAAATATTGTAACCTTTTTTTAAAAAAATTGCAACCTGTATCCTAACACACTCTTGTGGGTTTTGCTTTTCTTCCATTCTTGTTTTAGATTGGCCGGTTAGTAATTGGACAGAATGGAATTCTTTCTACCCCTGCAGTGTCCTGTATTATTAGGAAAATAAAAGCCATCGGTGGTATAATTTTGACAGCAAGTCATAACCCTGGTGGACCGAATGGAGATTTTGGCATTAAATTCAATATTTCAAATGGAGGTAAGTAAGACTATTCTAATTCCATTCTTCCACAGTGAACTTCTCTCCTGCTATTGTTGAGTGCATAAACATTACCCATCTGTGTTATGTTGGTGACCATAGTATGTTTATGAATCAGTGGTATGATTTGGGTCTGCTGAAGGAACCCAGTTTGGCTTCGGGAGGAAAAGCATTTAACTGAAGGCAAGGGGCAAGGAAAAGGGAATGCTTCAAGAGAGATGAGGAAGCAAAGACCTAAACGTGCAAGACAATGCCTAGGCTCTATTCTTTCTGAAATGTATTATTGTCACTTTTTGCTAGAAATTATCTGTAATCACTCATTTACAATATCATATCTTAATAAAAGGCATTAGAAGCAGTGTTTATATGTATAATTATACTCTTCCTCTTCCTTCCACAACAAAAGTTATCTCCTGTCTAGGCCTGCATAGAAATAGGAAGGCCTTGGGGGAAAACTGAAAAATTGCAGGAGAAAAATTTTCCATTTTCCCCCTTTCATTTCTCCTTAGAACTTTATTGTTTTTTTCTGTCCCCCTCCATGCCTCCTCAGTGTTTCTAGACCTTTGCAACTCTTAGTCCACGTACAGGTAGTCCTTGAGTTATGACCACTCATTCAGCAACCTTTCCAAGTTACGATGGCACTGAACGAGAGGGACTTACAACCGGTCCTCAAATTTGGCCATTGTAGTGCCCCCACAATCATGTGATCATGATTCAGACGCTTGGCAACTGACTCACATTTATGACAGTTGCAGCATCTCGCAGTCACATGATTGCCATTCGCAACCTTCCCTGCCAGTTTCTGACAAACAAAATCAATGAGGAAGCTGGCAGGAAGTCACAAGTCGCTCCTGCAAGTCACTTCTGCTCCTGCCACTTTTTCTCCTGAGGAGCCCCCAGGCAGCAGGGGGATCTCATACCCCTTAGAGCCTGCCAGCCCGCCTGCACTGACACCCACCCATACTGGCCTGTAGCACCTACCTACCCACTCACCCACCTGCCTGACCATAACATCCGCACTCAAACTCGCACCCATCCATAGCACCCACCCATGTGCCTGCCTGCACTTGCACCTGCCCACACTCCATAGTGCTCACCTACCCACCTGTAGCTCTTGCCACCAGCCTGCTTGTGAGCTACCTAAGAAGGAAAGGCTTGTTGTAACCACAACTTGTGACTTCCTCCTGCTTCCCCATTCACTTTGCTTGTTGGAAGTTGGCAGGAAGTTGCAAGTCGCAGTCATATGAGGTCCTTGCTTAACAACCTGCAGTCCTCGCTTAACGACAGCAACAAGGACTGCTGGGATTGCTGTCACTAAGCAGGATGGTGACATTGTGCTTTACAACCGGATCACTTAGCAACAGAAATTCTGGTGCCAATTACCAGCATGACCCAAGGACTACCTGTACATAAACTTCAGTAATGCTATAATAGTGTCTGTTTCTAAGATAATATCATAGTCACTGCTTGCTTACGAAGGTAGTTGTTATTGCCTTGGAAGGAAACCATCTAGATTATATCTTTTTAAAGGGACTAGCCAGATGCAAAACATGATAGGGCTGTTATAATGGTATAGAAGAAAAAAATTCAACAGAATATGGACAAGCCAAGTCTGTTGCCATTTATACCTTGAAACACTCATATTGATTCATTCTGTAACCTACAGTAGAAGATGTTGCTTGCATGAAATCCCCCCTGACAGAAGTTGATTAACACATATATTTAAAACTTTCTGTGTCTACATAAGTTGTTGTTGTTATTACACCCTTTCCTTGTTTAGCAACCGAGTTCTGTTCAAACGAGCAGGTCATTAAGCAAAATGGTCACTAAGTGAACACATGATAGAGAGAGGGAGACACTGTGAAGGTAACTGGTTGCTGTTCTCACATACACCTATGCTAGTGTTACTCTCACTCCAACATGCGTTGTTGTCAGGCTCACAACATTTGGTTGTAAATGCTCACATTGGTTGGAAAATGAATTTTTTGCTACCATTTATTACTGTCGTATTTGTGAGTGGTCGCTAACCAAAGTAGTCGCTAAACAAGGAGTGAGTGCATTACTACTACTACTTTGGATCATGAGATTAAAACTTTTTTTTTACTACAGTTGTTTTTGGAATGTGATAAATAGTCTCTGTTAAATTTACATTCAACTCTATTAAAATATCCTTCATTTAACATCTTTTCTAGAAGCCTATTTGCCTCTCATTAAAAAAAATTTTCTCACTAGGTCCTGCTCCTGAAGGTATTACTGATAAAATTTTCCAAATTAGCAAGACTATTGAAGAGTATGCTATATGTCCAGATCTAAACGTAGACCTCAGTACTATTGGAAAGCAGCAGTTTGACTTGGAGAACAAGTTTAAACCATTTACAGGCAAGTAAAATCTGTCTCTTCACTCCTTCAAAGGGTTCCCACTTGCACTGATAACAATTTTTAAATTGTTGCAATGTCTCAGTCAAGAACAAGGCACCTGTATTTTTAATATATGTGGAGAAGAACGTTCAGCATGTATATTGCTATCACCCTGAATTTCTGTATTTTTGAATCTTCCCTTGAATTAGATGATAACTAGGATGTCACATACAAAGGAGACCTTTACATTTACTATTTAGTAAGAAGGAGCATACCTTCAAGTTATAATTACTTTTTTTTTTCTTCTGCAAAACTATTATATAAGCCCCATTCTCATATAAAAGAGCTAAGGACTCCTGTACATTTAATAGTTCTGTAAAAGGTAGAATTCCATCAAAGGTAGATTTTGACCTGATTATTCATTCTTCCTGAGACCCTTCTACTGAATCCTTAAGTTACCATCCATTTCAAAATTAGTAGGGATTAAGTCCAAGCTCCTGTCTTAGCAGCTTCTTCCCCCACCACCCACATGTATACTCTCAAATGTTTATGGGACCCTCCACACAACAAGTTTTGAAACTATGGAGGAAATCTGCAAGAGAGAGGGAAAATTTTCAATTCTACTGACAGAAGCTACCAGCAATAACTGTATTTATATCCAATGTGTTTATTTCCAAACAGTGAATATTGTTTGTTGATTTCAAAATCCATTTAGAAACAGCAGAATGGCTTAGGTGGACTTATGTCCAAGCCTATATAACTTCAATAGTGCCCCAATAAATTGAAGTTCCTAAGATAATGCTACATTTGCTGCTTCAGTCTCATAAATATATTTGTTTTACTGTCTTTCCTCATATAAATAAATTTAGGGTTTGGGCTAGATTTTTACATCAGTTCCCTTTAATACAGTAATTGCATGGAAGAATTATTACTAATAGCAATGTTTGTTGAATGGTGTATTTTAGTTGATTTAAAATTAAGGGAAATCTTCAAGATTATATAAAAATCTTACATCAAGCAAGAAAGTTTCTTTTGAATGATTCAAATTCTGGGAGGATGATTGGGGATTCAGACTTAATCTTCTTGAAACCATAGAATTCCTTTTAAATCTGTTTGAGCAAGTTATCAAGTATTCTCTATCCTTCTCTACAAATCATATAGTATTTATATGATAAACTTTCTAGATTGTAATGGAGAAGTTATAAGTTCATTAGTATACATTACTATCTTTGGTGAGAATGTTCAGTTAGTAATTTCCTTTGGTCAAAAGTTTAAGAAGAAATTTCTTGTATACTTGCCAATTTGTCCATGCAAAGCAGGAACAAATTCGGATGGAGCTCCAGTTTTGCATACACAAGTCTCATGGCCTGTGCACTCAAATTGCTGCATGGATTGCTGCAAAATGTGTTCCTGGTAGCAAAGTTATAATATTTTTACAGTTGTTGTTATAAAGAACAATTATCAATCCAAAATAAGTGTGGAATGAGAAATGAGAGTGAGTCTCAAAAACCCAGATTTTAGGAATTAAGCAAATCTAAGCAGGCTCTTCCTTCTCATTAACATTTTAATTGTTTTATTACTTATTTCCAGTGAATGGGTTTTATTTTATAAAGTTGCAAAATTCCATCATTGCTTTATGTAACATATAAACATACCACTCTTAATTAGGTAGTGTTAAGTTCTTCAAACTCCAATAAAATTATACATCTGAAGAGGTCGCACAAATTCCTTCATCATTTATCATTCCTTATTTTGAGAACCATTGATCTAGACAAATGTATGTCTAGAGCGAAATACTGACTATGGAATTAATGTATAAATATATATATTTTCCTTAAGATTATATATTATGCTCTCTCATGTACACATAGACCCCACATTTTGTTTATTTTTTGTTCTTTCTAGTTTTTGTCTTGATGCTATGCTTGTTTCAATAAGAAAGCAATTTTTAAAAAGTTTGGCGAAATAGAAAAGATGAAGCATTCATTCATAAGTTGCTTATCTTGTAGATACTTGAAGAGGTTTGTAGTTATACCCAGATTTTGTGCAGTGGTCAGAAGTGAGGCAACTCCATCTTTTGGTTATTTTTTCTTGTAACTGTTATCAAGGCACTTATTCAACAGCAGTGGCTACTTTGATCTGATCAGTTTCTTCAATTTAATTTCTTGCTTTTGTTTTTCAGTTGAAATTGTGGACTCTGTAGAAGCTTATGCAAATATGTTGAGGAATATTTTTGATTTTAGTGCACTGAAAGAACTATTGTCAGGTCAAAACCATCTAAAGATTCGGATAGATGCTATGCATGGAGGTATGTAAGATAATGCAAGTGCAGTAACGGTAAGCACTGGCTTTCAGTCTAATCCACGGATCATCATCCAGTCCCTTCCCTTTTCCATATTCCAGGAATGAACTAATCTACAATCTGGAATGGAGCTTATGTATGTACATGCAACACGCACAGACCTTCCCCAGTATGGATAAGGTTTACTTGCCTTAAGGCTAGGACAGGGAAAGGTCCATTTCCCCATGTATTGGTGGGCAGCACGTGCCCTCTTCTCTGATGTATAAGGATTGCCATGTCTTTTTGTTTTTCTAGATCTTATTGATAGTATAGATAGAAAGTGATAGCAGAGCTACACTCTGTCTTTACTATAAAAAAAAAACCCTTTGAGTTGCAGTATTTGTAAACTTTCACTTTTTCAACTTTTTTGCTGACTTGAGGAGTCCTCTTGGATATCACAGACAAAAACTTAATGGATATTAACTTTTGAAGCTCTAGAGAAAGGAATATTATAACTTACTAAATTTATGCTTACAAACCTTCAGTTGTAAGGGGGAGATGGGGGAAAGAAAAATATTAATATTCTCCAGTATACTTTAAGATTTAAAAAAAAAGATAATCTCTACCACTTATGTGTACTTTTATTCCTTTGCTGAACCAGTTGTTGGGCCATATGTAAAAAAGATTCTCTGTGAAGAACTTGGAGCACCAGCTAATTCTGCTGTGAATTGCATACCTCTTGAAGACTTTGGTGGCCATCATCCTGATCCAAATTTAACCTATGCTGCTGATCTGGTGCAGACCATGAAGACAGGAGAGTATGATTTTGGTGCAGCCTTTGATGGAGACGGGGTATGTATGTGCCTTCTGGGTTTGTTTTTTCTTCCTTTTTGTGAACATGGATCATGCCAGGAAGTAGAATTTGGTATAGCTGATGCATGCATAAGTAGTTGGACTGGACTTGATAGAAGTAAATGGAATTCAAGTTGATAGCTTTACATGATAGTGTTGTATGGGGAAACATGTTTGGTGTTGAATATTATATTAGAAAAGTATTCAGATTTAGGCAGTGACAATTTGTTCAAGCTATGAGCAAAGTCATAATTATCCACAAGTGATAAATTATATTATGTTTGTCTGCATTAGTTAAGGCTTCCATTCATCAGAGGCAGGGTTGGGTTTTGCTTGAAGGGGTAGAGGCCACAACTAAATTTTCTGAAGAGCATCAGGAGGCCATATGTGACTCTGTGGCTTCACCAGAGGAGCATGGCTGAAATATTTTGGTTCTTTGGAAAGTTTTAAGGGTAGGATGAGAATGACAGCCTTTCAGAGGTGAATCATTCCTATTAGCATCCTTAAAATCATTCAAAATAGAACCAAAATCATGCTTCCAAAATTCAACTATGTTGCAGCTGAATTTCAGCAGCAGAATCTTGGGTTACTAGATGACCACATTGCCCCAATTATGTATTTAAACAAATTATTTATTTAAACAATTATTTATTTAAACAAATTATATGGCCTCCTATCTTGCTGCAGTAACACCGGGCAGCTATAATTACCAGCCCATGGGTTACCTATTCCTAATTTGTGGCAACCTTCCCTAACTTGCTACTCTTAGAACTGATATGGTTGCAAATGGTTTTGCCCAGTGCATTTGGCAGAGGGTAGTGCTAAGTTGAGGATAGCTGAGCTAAAGTCTTGGGGTTGTAAAACTGGGAATCCAGATATTCCAACTCCTATTACATTAAAAATCAAGTCTTTTTCTTCAAAATTAAGTCTAAAAAGAAGATTTTTCAAAGAGTGCTGAGATGTCAGAACTCCTTGAGAAATAAGCACTCCATTAATCAATCTTGATAGTTTGTGCCATTTTCAATGTTCTTCGTTTGGTAAGGAAAGTGCCATTCCAGTTACATACTCTATTAAGTGAATCCCTTTTTCTTCTTCTTTTTTTTTTGGTCATGTTACTAGTGGCAGAACTGGTCTCAAAGACAAAATCTGCAGTGCAAATTTCTGAATATTGAAGGAGTATAGCTGTTCATTATTCCCCTTTCATCTTCCAGTAAAATATATAATTAATAAAAAATAACACTGCTGTAC